CCGCTGAAGCGTCGACCATTTCTGGCCGGCAACTTTCAGCGTCATTAAGCCGCTGCGCCACCGCGTCCCCCCTAGACACAAGTCTTAGCATATTGTATATTAGCACAAGTTCAAACTCATCAAACATTTTACTAATCTAAGAAACTGACCCATGATGCAACACCTCAGCTGTGATTTCACTGCTTCAAGGCATTCTTTTAAAATGTCATCTAGTGAAAGAAAATCCTTAATAAAAGTTCAAGTATTTTGATAATTTGATCCTAAAAGTATGTCTGCAGATAAATCCTTAGCAAACTTGTAAATCTGAAATCAATTATATTACTTGTAAATTTATGAGGGGAGAATGGTAGAGGTGCCTGAGTTATCTGATGATTCAAGATTTTATGGTTTCATGATTGTCATACTGTAATTGCTAGTTGCATATTTTATGGCTAATATATTGATAATATTGTATATGTAGTTCCTTGTAAGCCAGTTAACTGCATAAGAGCATTAATAATAATATTCAATAAATAACATTTCTGGTCTTTATTAGTGTGTGTGTGTATTTTAAAGTGTCACTAGATGACATTTTAAAAGAATGCCAACTGGCTTACAAGGATTCAATAAAGACGAGAAATTTTATTTATTGAATATTTATTATTAATGCTCTTATGCAGTTAACTGGCTTACAAGGATTCACACACACACACACACACACAAATAAAGGCGATATATATATTCTCTCTCATTCTCTCTCTCTCTCATTCATTCTCTCTCTCTCTCTGATTTTAAGGCAGCAGACAGACAACATCCTTTTCTCTTACCAACCTCTGCAGACTGATCCTATTATGTTCAGAACAGCATTATCATGTTTAATTTACAAGCCCAGAAATGGAAGATTAAGGATCTAATACTACACACGCTTGATTCAGAGTAATTCCTATTGTACACAGCTTCCAAATAAGTCCTCAGAGGACTCAACCATTAAATCCTAGTTTCAAAAAGTTGAAATAAGGATGTCTAAACTGATAATCAGAAACACACATTGTCTGAAAATATAATATCCAGCAGAAATACCTTTAAAAGCTAAAATCTTAAAGACTTTTAAACCCAAAATAAAATCTGAACCTTGCAAGTTACATATTCAAGCTCAACTTACAGAGATTACTTTATCCCAATATCCAAGAACTGTTAACCTCTGAATCTTGCACAAGGGTGACTACAAGAACAGAGCAGAGTAGAACAGGCAAAGCAGGTAAGATCATAGAATCACAGAGCTGGATGCGGTCACAAGGATCATCTAGTCCAATGTTTCTTTAACTTTTTTCTCTCAGGACCCCTTCCCACTTTTAAAAATTATGCAGGACCCCAAAAGAGCTCATCTGTATGGGTTATATTTATCAATATTTATTATGTATTAAAAATTAAAATTGACACATTCGCTGCGGCTACCACTTCTCATGATTGTTGGATGGGAGTTTAATACTGTATTATTTTTCAATATATGCTGGCAAATAATTTTGACCCCTGAGAGGGTCTTGGGTACAGTGACCATATGTCCTGGTTTATAAAGGACAGTCCTTTATTTCAAAAAGCTGTCCTTTACATTTATTTTTCAAAAACTCACTTTTGTCCTTTATTTTGGTCATTTAACTTTTACCATACAAATGGTACCACTTCATGCAGTGTTTCACATTCATGTGAAAAATATGGAAATGGAATTGTCTATTTTAAAATAAATTTACATACTGTATACTGTTTGATTTTAGATATTTTTACTAGAATATGCACTTTTGTAAAGTTTTTCTTGGTTTTGATCTTGAATTTTTCTTTGTAAAGCAACGTTATAAACATAAACAATTACTTTTTTTTTGTCCTTATGAACCTCTTTCAGATTTGCCCCCCTTTCAGGTTTGTCCTTTATTTTTTCCAAGAAAATATGGTCAGTGTGGAGACCCTCAGCTCCAAGTCCCCACACAACCCCAGAGCTCCCTGGACGATCTCAGGCCAGACACACAGCCCGGCCGACCTCACAGGGCTGCTGTTCGGAGGAGGCCATGCGCCTTCTGAGCTAAACGCGCAAAGAAACGGCGAGATAATTGCAATAAATCAATCCAGCCCAAGGCAGGAAGCCGCCAGCAAAGCGCGCTCGAGGGGCTGGAAACACCAGCACAGGCTTCCCCTCCCCAAGCCGCTCTACCGGCGCTCGTGACCTCTCC